GCCCGACTCTTCCGAGACACTTCCGAGACACCTCCGACACACGTCCGAGACGCGTCCGAGACGCGTCCGAGACACGTCCGAGACGCGTCCCTCGCAGGCGAGCAGGACCCGTGGACGCCTCCCGCTCGCGTGCGCGCGCTCGAGCGGTTCGCCGCTGTGCAGCGCGTCGTGCCGTTGCCCGGCGTCGGCCATTGTCCGCATGACGAGGCGCCCGGCACCGTCAACCCGCTCGTGCTCGACTTTGTGCGCGCTTGCGCCGCGAGGTGACGGCTGACGCGTGGGCGTGCGGCCGTGCGCGCCGGCGGTGGCGCACCGTAGATTTGCGCCAGCACAGCGCACAGGTGCAGCAGCAGCACGGGCCCTTTTGCCGGCTCGCTCCTCGAGCTTGGCTCACGCTGAGAAAAATTCTGAAACGGCGTGCAGCAGAGTCACCGTGTCACCGACGAGTCGGTCCGCGTGCCTCCTCGTGTTCCGTACCGTTCTCACAGATCCATAAACTCACTTTGGCCTCTCACCGAGAAGCGATGCCTGACCAATCCTTAATCCTCGGTGGGATTTTAGATTAGGACGCACCGCACCCTCTAGTAGCTAGTAGGGCCGTCCCGTTTTGATCTCTCGGTGAGTGGGCGCCCACCCGCCGCCTCTGAGGGGGCCGGGCCCCCTAGTCTGAAAACAAAAAGTAAACAAGCTCGAAAACACAGCCAAAATCAGCCTGCGAGAGAGGCACTGCGCGCCGCTGACCTCATGTGGGGATGTGTGCCGACACCAATACTGATCTAAAACCTGGAAACCCTTGTTCAAAGCCGACCCTAAGCGCCATCCTTCCTGCTCTCACCTGATGCTGCTTCCCCGCACCGCCTCCTTGGGCCCCCTTGGGCGTATTTTCTACTCCCAGTGGGGTCCCGGGCCCCCGGGCCCCCTCTTGTTTTCTGTTTTCTGTTTTTCAAAACGCCCGCCCGCCCGCCACCCTGAGACGGCTCGGCCCCCCACTCACCGAGAGATCAAAACGGGACGGCCTAGAGCCACATTGCCGCCAGAGCCGAGCATGGGAGTTATTTTGGCAATAATTCCACGCCGTCTCCGTCTCCCGGCCCGTTATGGGAGATGCCGAAAAACCAGAACTCACCAAACAGTTCAACGAGGGCTACCACACCGTTTCGCAAAGCACATCTGCAGCCGGAGCAACGCCTTTCAAGTTTCCTCTCACGGTCGCGGCCTGGGATGGTTCGACTGGGTTGGGGTGCTTAAGTGCGCCGGTGGAGTGTGGTTACCGGTGGGGCCAAGTGCATTGTCGGTGGAGTCCCTACCGCTGGCGCAGCTTGCGCAGTCGGTCTTGGCACAGCGGCCTACACGTGCTCCGGCGTCTTGTCTGGTGACGAAGACGATCCCGACCCACCCTCCTCGCCCAACCACTACCGACTGCATCCGTCTTGCGATGACGAGAAAATCTGCGGCGCCGGCGAAGGAGAAGTCCAAGTTCGACCTGACCAGTGTCTGCGATGCGAGTGGGCCTGCGACGATGACGACCTCTATGGGTATGGTTGGCTCTACACGGGCGACTGGACCACATTGGCTTGCTGTGGATTTGCATGCTTGGAAAACAAGGAGCAATACTGCAAGAAGTATCCCTGCACCAGGGTCGAACCACCACCCCCGCCGCCCCCACCCCCGCCACCCGCGCCACCGCCGATCCCCGTCGGAGAGTGCCGGCCGCTGCTCGATTACGACAAGCCCGACAGCAGCATTGTCGTCCTGTCAGACGTTGTGCAGGACGGCTGCAGCGATTTCCCAACGGATTTTTTTCTTCATTACTATTATTAATTGATCCTTTTTGCACGGCTGAGCCCCCCCCCCCCCCTCGCCCATTCCCTGGCCTCTCCCGCTACAGCTCTCCTCAGAGCCCCACGAGTCTTCTGACGCCCACTGCTATCATTTGCCACCCAGTCATATCATTGCTCAGGTCCACTCTCTCTTCGAACACTTGTGCCTTCACTGATGATGCCGGCGCTGGGGTCCGGATCAGGGTTTGCGATGAGACCCGATTTTATTTCTTCCCTCGCCAGCTTAGCTCAAGACGTCAAGAGCCGCAGACGCCGGACGCCCCGGCGGTCGGTGACCAACAGCGACCGCGAGCGAGGGCGGCCCACATGCGGAGCGTGAAAAGCCGAAAGTGCCCTGGAAATCGGTAAGTGATACGCCCTCCGCCTCAATTCGGTAAGTGATACGCCCTCCGCCTCAATTCGGTAAGTGATACGCCCTCCGCCTCAATTCGGTAAGTGATACGCCCTCCGCCTCAATCTCCGATGTCACGCCGTGCCGGTTGGTCGTCGGCCGCGGCTCGCCACATTGCTTGAGCACATCCTCCTCTCCGGTCCTTCCCCGACCTGCCCAGCGACCCACCCGCGCGCCGCGCAACACTCAAAACGCCTCTCACCATCCAACGAGCTCACGGGCCACGACAGATCTCGCATCTCCCAGAGCGCCGCGCCAAGCCTTGCCCAATTCTCGCCTGCGACTGACGCTCTGCCCTCACTCTCAGGATTTTGAGGGCCTCAACGAGGATGTTACTAGCCGTGTTGTCCGCTTTGGCGGCGGCGCAACTCAACTCGGACGACTGTGAGAATTCCATCGCGTCCAGCTTTGCCGGTGTCGTTCTGCCAAACGGTGTCCGTCTGCCAGAGGAGGCAGCATCTGGTCTCATCGCTGGATGCCAAGCTGAAGTGAAGAAGCAGACAGACGCAACGTTTGACGTGGCGAGCGAGTGCGCAGCTGTCGTCAACTGGATGCGTGTCATCCACGACGAAGATGGACCACACCGTTTCGCAAAGCACATCTGCAGCCGGAGCAACGCCTTTCAAGTTTCCTCTCACGGTCGCGGCCTCAACATACCTAACACATCCACGCGGCTAAGGTAAGGTAAGGTAAATTTCTCCACACACACAAAGTGGTGGGGCAAGGGGGGGGCGACCCTCGCCTCTCCGGACTCCGCACCCGGACGGGCGGGAGCCCCACGGCATTCAAAGTGCATGCACTTGCCCGGTGCACGTGGGTGAGCAGCCTGCCCCTCCCTCCCGTGAAACCAACTCGCCCGCAGAACACACACAAACACCTCAAACGCAGCCACCTGGGTACCCGAGGCGCGGACAACCACACACACCCCACAGCGCGATGCAGAGTGACTCACTGTGTGTGCTTAGACAGGATTTCCGCAGACAGCCAAAACCAAGTGCTCCAACCGAACAACAAAATTCATTGAAGGCTAGCTCAAAAAGAATTCCAGCAGGGTTTCTCACGTGCTCCCCTTTTATTTTGATCTTCCCCCCAAGTGAGCTACCTAATGCACACACTCATCGCTCAGCAGTTCGATCCCGCAGAGCTCACCCCAAAGTAGGTGGTGTGGTCGAGGATGGAGAGCCTGTAGCCGGGCACGGCGTCATTGCAGGATCCGGCTGCGCACACCTCCGCCTCGGTGCCTCCCGAGTCGGGCGTGAGCCAGACCTGCGTGCCGGCGTGCTGCCACTAGCGCGGTTCCGGTGCGAGGCGGCGCGCGCCGCGTGCGTGCGCGTGCGTGAGGGGGGTCAAGGAGGCCACGTCGGGCGGCACGTGCGGGATCGAGTCGCGCTGGTTGACTACGCGCCACAGCGTTAGGCCGCGCCGCGCGAGGGTGGCGTCCGCGCTCGCCGCAAAGGCGGCGTTTCCCACCCTCGGGCCCGCGAAGCTGTAGAGGAGGGGCGGCGGCGAGAGGGCGGAGAGGGAGCCGTCGGCCGCCCACTCGGCCGCCATCAGCGTCGCGAGCGAGGCGCCGCAGGAGTGGCCGGTGTTAACGCCTTCGCGAGTAACAGTAGTGTCGCGCGAGGGCGAGCAAAGGTCCGGGCTGCAGCGGCGCGCCATCGAGACGGAGGAGCCGGAGAGGGCCTCCGCGTCCGAAGGCGTCGGCGAGCTGCGGCTGGTCGAAGTTGAGGTAGAGCGTGCGCATCTGGTGCGGCGTCGCGTCGCCAACCTCGTGGATGACGTCGACGGGGCCGGGTCGGATCATGGCGGGGTCGAGCCTAGGGTGGTGTCGGATGATCTCGGGTCCTCTCGGGTCCCCTCGGGCCACCTCGGGCCACCTCGGGCCACCTCGGGCCACCTCGGGCCACCTCGGGTCCTCTCTGGTCCTCTCGGGTCATGGCGGGTCATGGCCCGGTCCTCTCGGGTCCTCTCGGGTCATGGAGGGTCATGGCGGGGTCGCCTCTCGATGTGGTTCGTCGTCATGAAGAGCAGGCGCTCCTCTCCGGCGGCGACGCCGTCGAGAGCGTTGAGAAGGCCGGAGAAGGTTGCGAAGGAGGAGCGGCGGTCCGTCGGGTCGCGGTCCTGTTGGAAGCATGTGTACTGGTGCTGGCTGCGGGTGCGGAATGGGCTTTTTTTAACTCGCAACCAACTATACTATACAAGGACACCCTCGGGGGGGACACTCGGCGCATGTGCGTCACGTCAGGGTGGAGTTGGCGGTGGCCGAGCGTCGTCTCCAGATCAACTCGCAGCGCGGAGTCGAGAGGGGTGAAGCGCGTCGCGCTGCGACACTCGAGAGCCGGCGGGATAGCCGTGGGGCGCGGCCGACTTTGAAGTCCTCGAAGATCTCCGGTGCGCATTCGTCCTCTGAGACCCACGCGCGTACACCGATAAAGCCGTACAGGAAAGGGGCGAGAACGCGGCCATTCTCCATTGACAATCTAACGCAACCTTGAGCTAGCCCGTTCCACACAGTGCGCACAAGCAAAAGCACCAATAAATACCTTTTAACGACCAAGAGACAGCGTGTGCGCGCTCGGCCGGGACTAGACACTCCCGTGCCACACGCCTGCGCACATCGAGAGCACTGCAGCACACCATGTACACACTCTCACACCACCCTGCATACAGAGGAGAGGAACATGCGTATGCGGCTCGCACACCACCCGTGCCGGCTTGTTTCCCACGCTCAGTGGAAACAAAGGCGCAACCACACACGCACAAAGGAACGTAAGGGGATCGCGGCGACGAGGCGCCGCGTCGAGAAGAGGCCGAACGCGCCCGCGACGCGGGGGCCCCGCGGGGGGCGCTGTGCCCTCCAGCGCGGGGGCCGCCCGCGCGCGGCGCGTGGAGTACTACGGCGACTACCCGAAGAGCTTGAGCAGCAGGAAGTCTGTCTGCTGGATGAGGCCGCCCTCCGGCGTGAGGCCGAGGGCGGCGTGCGCCTCCTTGACAATCTTGACCAGCCCGCCTGGCGCGAGGTTGAGTGTCTCGCGGATGCGCTCCACCTGCAGGGGCCAGACCAACAGAACTCACAGGTCATTAATTACGCTCCACCTGCAGCCAATCAACACGAACTAACAAATTGAGTGACTACGCTCCACCGGCGGCGCAGGAGATGGGGGGGGCTGGGGGGGTTCCGGGCCCGATGGTCGCCATGGCGAGGCGACAGAAGGGGGAAGGGGGAAGGGAAGGGGGGGGGGGGGGCCCAT